GCCTTTGGATTTTTAACTGCCTTTGGTACCAGGCATGGGAAATTGGAATTCACAATAGTGCTATTTTGATTGAATAATTGTCCTGCTGTCTCTCCATGTTCATCAATGAAATATTTTCTGATTTTTTTGTCAAATATGTAGTGCTATACCTGGACGGCATACTGATGTTTTTAGAGCATCCATTTTTACACAAGATTTGTATTACAAGTGACTTATAGAGACTCCTCAAACACAATATTTTTACATTTTCAAGGTGGAAATGTGTTTTTGATGTTTCCAAATGGACTATTTATGTTATTAAATATCTCTATAAAGGAAAGACAAATTGATCCTGCAAAAATACAGTCCATGCTCTTATAGCAACTATCTAGAAGTATGAAATATGCCCACTATTTTTAAGAGCTTTGCAAGTTTGTACAGTAGAAAATATTCTCCATGATTTTGCATGATGCACAAGACTGTTAGCTGCTAAAAAAAAAAGGTACAGAGCTTCAAATTGTCTCAAATTACATCTTTGAGTCTTTAGACATCCTGTCCCCACTGATCCTTTTGTTTCACATCAGAAAGACACAACATTAAGTGGTGTTTTTCAAACATAAAAAATGATGTGGGAAGATCTTCTGCTTTATGCATTTTATTATAAATTGCTTTTCTCAGAGGAAAAGGAACTATGGCATTTTCAATAAAGACTTGCTTATGACCAAATCAGCATTCCAATATGGCAGACATTTCTTGGAAGGAATAAACCAGTTCATATACATCTGAAGAATATGGAACACTTATAGAAAGCACAATCCATCTTTCTTACAAGATCGGGTGGATTTATTTTTCTCCATTTCAAATGTGATATCACTTATATTTCTGGATCTAAAAAAACAAATCTCAAAAATTTTATCACAAAAATCTGGATATGATCTTCCATGCTCAACCCTCTCGATCACAATCTGTAAGCCAAACATCCCTTCCCTGAGTATATATCTTCTGGAAAAGATTATGGGGAGGGAAATAAGCAGTACATCTGTTGGATCAGCCTATTTGCAACAATAAGATTCATATTTCATATAGACAATCTCCAGAGAACCACAAACTGATTTATTCTCTGTGACTTATGTAAGCTATTTCATAAACATCATATTCTTCTTCCCTCAAGGACAACTCTACCATGATAATCAAATTGCTAGACCCCATAGAGGAGTGTTTAAAAGTTTTCATCAGGCACTCAGTATTCTGATGCTGAAGAATGAGAGCAGATATCAAGAAAAATGTCTGTTGTCAGACCAAGACTTGTATAGTCAGCCAATTTACTTCAGCCACCTTCTTCCCTATCTGAATCTTGGAATTCTATGTCAATGGATTATGTTACTCACGCTCCTTCTCAACAGGGTTACACAAGTATTTTGGTGACAGTAGATTTATGTACCAAAATGGTTTATTGTATTCCTTGCAAAAGCCTTCCATTAGCTCAGACACTTTCCAAAACATGTTTTTAGGTAGAAGGAATTAATCAGTCACATGTTCTTGGATTACAACTTTCAATTTATAGCCAATTGATAAAAAAAACCTTGCAGCTTCCAAACATTGCGTCAAATCAATTATTGGAAAACATGAATCAATTATAACAATACGTGAAGTACTATATCTCATATCAGCAGGACAATAGGACTGAAAGGTTGCAAAATTCCCCCCTAACATTCAGTACATTCCTCAATAGGGATGCCTTTCAGGCAATTTATAGTTATTGCCTCCACATCTTGCCCCTCTATCTTGAGCTCTAGCAACCACTATTTCTGTCAGACTTTCTACAGGAGAGAGAGAGACTGCTCTCGGCTCCGCTTCAAAGAACACTTAGATTCGGCCAAGGCTGCAAATAAGTGTGCTGTAAATGCTATATGTCAAGCAGATACCAAGACTGCAGTGGGAGATTTGGTGAGACTTTCTAAGTTTTACATTGCATATATCAAAAGTTGGATTCAAAGTTTTTTTTAGATGGGGGGGTGTCCTTTTAAACAACAAATTAATAGCAGTAGCAATAGCAATAGCAGTTAGACTTACATACAGCTTCATAGGGCTTTCAGCCCTCTCTAAGTGGTTTACAGAGTCAGCATATTGCCCCCAACAATCCGGGTCCTCATTTTACCCACCTCGGAAGGATGGAAGGCTGAGTCAACCCTGAGCCGGTGAGATTTGAACAGCCGAACTGCTGAACTGCAGTCAGCTGAAGTAGCCTGCAGTGCTGCATTTAACCACTGCGCCACCTCGGCTGTCTAACTCATTGGTTTCTTCCTATTCAATAAAGATTCACCCAGTCTTCTATTATTATTGCTTATTAGCTGATAACCCAGCATTGTCTGGGTATTTATTAATAGGGGGGAAATGTCCAGACCAAATGTAATTTTTAATGTTGGATTTTCCTCCTTACCAGAGGGAGCCCCCTTGTGGAGTACTGTGCCATCATTACCATGGCAACTCCACTGTGCTGTACAGTAGAATTCATTTTAAGGCAGTACAGTAGAAACCATTTGAAGGTACAACGGGTTGTATGGTAACAGAACACACACTCCAAGAGGTGTTAGGGGTGTCTTACCCCCCATAGTATTTGTTTCCAGAGAGTAAGTCATCTGTGTACCAAGTTTGGTTGAAATTGCTTGAGGTGTTCCAGAGTTATGCTGGAACACACACACACACACACACACACACACACACACACACACACACACACACACACACACACACACACACACCTCTTTAATTCCTGGTCCTAATCTTTTCTCAGGCTGTCTCCTATTCAGTACCAAGAAGAGAAGGGGGGAAAACCCTTCCCTATCAATTTATAAGATTTCAGAGTTGTCCTATACTTTATTCCAACACTGGAAGAGAATATACTGTTTCTCAGAACAAAGCAAAATAAAAATATTGGTGTTATACATTTTTTTCAAAGAGTTGTATAATGAGCCATTTCTTTCCCCATATTCATAATGGCTGCTTTGAAACAGTATGCAGGCAAGCGTAGCCAGGAGCAACTTCTGAAGCAGTTTTGCTCTCCTTTTACAGGGATGCTTTTTACACTCTCTATTTTTTAAACTTTGAAGTATTTGTGTTACCATAGAAACTGCCAATATTCCTCAGCTGATCTACACTGGTCAACTGATGAGGTAGGACTGGGAAGGGCCTTTGTGTGAAAGAGGTATGTGCAACAATGAAAAGCAATGAGATACCTAAGCAATTGTGGTCCCACACAATTTTAAACAGTGTTTCTGCTTGCTCTAACATAGATGTTCCAAGAAACTTGAATTTTAGGCAAAAGTCTCTTTCTCCCACACACAGGCATAAATAAACAAAACAGTTGAATTAAGTGTTATGTTCGATGCACCAAATGACAGTGTGAAGGTGATGTCTAAACATGAAATTGATCCAATACAATGGTAAGATATTTTTAAGGTTAATTGGAGTATAACAAGTATCTGTGTCTATATAATAATAATAGAAATCCCTTTTCTTTTTAGAGTTTAGTATCTGGTTATTTTACTAAGCATGTGTAAAATATTAGTCAATAAGATAAAGGGTTGGTGTTTTTTTTTAATAAGACTCCAAAATTTATAAGAAATAAAAAGAAAAGTATCACAATACAGGTAGTTAAGTGAGTTTCATCCCATTTTACAACTTTTATGCCACAATTGTTAAGCGAATCACTGCAGTTGTTAAGCAAATCTGATTTCTCCAATTGACTTTGCTTGTCAGAAGCTGACTGGAAAGGTTACAAATGGTGACCACAAGATCCTGGGATACTACAGCTGGTAACTTCATAATTTACCAAGCAACCAAAATGTTATCACATGACCAGTCATAAGTCACTTTTTTTAGTGCCACTGTAACTTTGAACCGATACTAAATGAATGGCTGCAAGTCAAGATTACCTATAAAGAATAATAGTGCTTGCAGCCATCAAACTGAAATATAGATAGTCCTCAGCATACGACTGCAATTGAGCCAAAAATTTATGTTGCTAAGTGAGAAATTTGTTAAGTGACTTTTGCCCCATTTTACAACTTTTCTTGCCACATTTGTTAAGTGAATCACTGCAGTTGTTAAATTAGCAACATGGTTGTTAAGTGAATCTGGTTTCCTCATTGACTTTGCTTGTCAGAAGGTCACAAATCACATGACCGCAGGACATTGCAACCATCACAAATGCTCATCAGTTGTCAAGCATATATTTGTAAAGTATTTTTCACCTTTTGCTGTGGATTGATATTCTTGTAAGTGGAAGCATAAGTACAGGGAGTCCCATACTTATGGGTTGCTAAAAATGGCAACAATTTTATGGCATGTAATCAACTAAGAACTTAAGGATTTCTAAGTTTAAATGAGGGCAAAGCTGGTAATGAAAACCACTGTACATAACTATTTTTGCATGACAATCTAATAGGACTTCTGGAGGGAGAGGGGAATAGCTTCAACCATAAACATTATATGTAGATTCTCTTATGTAGCGAAAAAAATAATGAATGATAGTATGATATTGTTATGTTCATATCCCATCTTCCATTTGGAAGCACAAGGCAACATTGATAGTACTCTGTTCTCCAGTTTTCACCCACAGTGACAACCCTGTTCATTGGTTTAAGAGAGAATGATTGGCCCAAGGCCACTTGATCTTACATGCACAGTCCAATTCCCTAAATACTAAACCATGCCATCTCTTAGTTTTTCCTTGCACCATGTTGGCATTTTGCTTATGGATTTGAAAGTTGTATCTCTGTGTCTATACAGTATATTGTTTAGTCTTATAAACGATAAGGCAAAGTATTGTGATCAGGACAACAGGAGAGTTATCCTTTATCGTCTGAATATGCTAAAGTCGATTTTGAAGGATATTTTAATATTAAATATGTGAATATAGGCTGATAGCAATTTTTCAGTGTCTTGTATACAGTATGTCTTAAAGCAATTGATAGAAAATGCTTGTAACTACTGTATTTTACAATCCATCTCTGTTGCAGAGAATATTACATAACGATGGTCAAGTGGGTGAGCAACACTAAGACAGTGGTGCGGTGGCTAAACAGGCCTCAAAATCTATCCATCCTTACAGTGTGTGAAACAACCACTGGTGCCTGTAGTATGGTATGAAACTTCTTGTTCATTTTTAAGCATACATTTTAATAATGGCTCTTATGCATGTAGGACAAGCTTTAGAGGTTTATTTTGACTTCAGCTCATTACCATACATCTTGTGTTAAATATATAGTACCTCGCTGTAGATCTAGTGTGCTTACAGACAAAGAAAACCTGCCATGAACATAAATTTTAGATGGTACCTTTGTTCTTCATTCCAACTCCATGGGCTAGAAAATTCGGTAGGGGGAACAGCTGGGTATCCACAAAACTATTCTGGACTCCAAAAAAATTATCTTTATTTGACAAAGCTAAACAGAGTGAGGAAACAGATTGAATTCTCAGTAGGATATTTGGCAGCACTTATCCAGGAGATGAAGCAGCAATTACTGGTATTATAACAATAGATAATTTTGAATTCTCATAATACTGTCAACGGCAAGGTGCTCTTTTTGAAAAGAGTTAATAGCAAACTAGTAATTTATGTCTAAGCAAATTGTTTAATCTGCCTTTGTTGATCAGAAAATAATAGAGATGATCTGCCAGACTCTAAACACTGGCCAAGTAAGATTTGTGAGCTCTTACATTAGCTTGTAGAAAATCAGACAAAATGATCAGTTTAATTTGTAATTGAAAAAAATAACCCTGATGATTTGAATCAATATGATTGTATTCTTTTCACTGTATTAGCTCGAAAGAAGTTTTACTGTGATATTTGAGACTGTATTTTCTTCTCTTCCTTTCTTTTTAACTTCATTCTTTTTTGTTTTTTCCTAGTTTTGCTATTTTTAATTCTTTTTTTTATACATCCTGTTTTGAATAATTATATTTCATTTTTTTAGGTTTTGTTTCTAAAAACAGGATACTGTTTAAATGAGGCTCAGTTTGGTGTAGTGGCTAAGGTACCACCAGTGGTGTATTAACCATAAAGCTGACTTAGCACATGCATAGGACACCAGGCCCAAAGGGGACACCACAAAGTTGAGAATGAAAGAAAAAAAAAACAATGAAGATTTGTATGTACAAAGGAGGGAGGGAACCAAGGTTTGTTAGTGCTTACGGCACCAATGAGCTTTAATCCGCCACTGGACACCACGCTAGAAACCAAAAGACTGTGAGTTCTAGTCCAAACTTAGGCACAAAGCCAACTGTGATCTTGGGCCATTAATTCTCTCTCAGCCCAGGAAGAAGACAATGAAAAATCATTTTTTTAAAAATTTTGCCAAGAAAACTCCAGAGATGTGTTTAGGAAATCACAAGGTATCAACATTGATTCAAAGCGGCCAAACCCACATTCCTGCCCCATGTAAAGAAAAAAAAACTATAATTAAAATATTGATCCATACATTTCCTGTATTATAAACATTGTAGCAATTTAAAGTATTTGTTAAAATACTTTTATCCTCCTGGAGATTTTTCTAAGCATATTTGTATGTATACACATGCACAAATACAGAGATACATATTAATAACAAAGCATTTTATCCTCATTAAAATACATAAAAAGTTGTGATACTCATATAATTTCACATTACATTGAATATATAATATATATTTGAATTATATTACAAAAGTACTGTAAATGGATGTTTCTTGATAATTGGGTGTTTTATTTTCATTATACCAAGATCATATATCCAAATATATAGATACACATTGAATACTATACCGCACTGTATTTTTTTTTTACCAATAAAGGAGAATATTCATAGCTCAGGGTTGAAATGAGGAGTCCTTGGTGTCCTCTGGAGTTGCTTGTTTTCTTGCAGACATTTCATTATTCTAACTAGGTAACATCATCAGTGCTAGTAAGGAGTGCTGTTTACTGTCAGTTTATATTCTGGTGACTTGCCTATCTGTGAGGGTAGGGTGGAACTAAATAATTTTTGTCATGTCTTTTGATTGCCAGTTGATGTTGATGGATGTGTTTTGCCAGTGTTCTGTCTGTCTGTCCTACACAATGGTTGTTTCAGTTCTTACGTTGTATGTTGTAGGTGACTCCTGTTTTTTTCTTCTGGGATTGCTGGGTCTTTTGGTTTGCTGAGGATGTTTTGAAGGACTTTAGCTGGCTAGTATGCTATGCAGATTCCATGTGGTTGTAGTAATCTATTTGTGGTTTCTCAGTTATTCTTGACTTATGATAATGTAATTCTTTTTAGGGTTTGTGTTGGTTGCGTTGTATTGTGTTGAGTGGTCAGGACAACTTTTGATAAAATTGTGTGGGTATCCAGGTTGTTGGAATATGTTGTATAGATGTTCTATTTCTTTTTTCTGCTGTTTTAGGTTGCTGCAGTGTGCTTGGGCTTATTTAAACAAAGTCCTTATGCAATGTCTCTTGTGGGAGGCTCGGTTGTTGCTTTGGTAGTGGAGAACCTGCTTAGTTTGGATGGGTTTTCTATAGATTTGCAAAAAAAAAATAAAAAAATAAGAACCTTGTTTTTCCTGATAGCTGTTTAGCATTTTGTTGTAGAATTCATACATTAATAAATTCTTTAATTTAAAAAAGTATGATTTTTCTTCATTCTTCTAGTGTCCTTTGTTTAAACTAGAATCTAAGAGGAGCAAAAAATGTTTTTAGCAAACTTATGAATTTATAGATGTTCCCCATTAAAATGTTAACTGTTTTTTTTAAATGTTTAAATTTAAAAAAAGGAAATTATCTTTGAAAGAGATTACTACTTACAGTAGTGTTGAACAACCTACACTTTTGTGTACCTTTTGTGTCAAATAGAGTTTAGCTATATGCAATTTTGCAGCTAATTTACATGCACAATAGTTCATAATTATGCTTTCAGAAATCTTGGAGCTCTCCAATATATGGATTTCTATTTTCAGAGTATCTTTATCTTTGCAAGTCACCAATTCCAATGACACTCCAATAAAAATTAAATTAAAATACTATCTTTAGTTATAACAGCAGCATAACAATCATAACCCTTAGGGGTCTTTCTCTAGTAACAATGCATATTGAATATCCTTCCAAACAGTTCTGTTTTTACTTCCTTTCTAAAAGACAATAGAGAGGATGCCATTCAATTTTTTGGGAGTAGACTGTTTCATAGAGATGAAGTATTTTGCTTTCAAGTCCCCATGCTCTGAATGGGGGGCACTTAACATCCTTAAAATAACATGAATTCAGGGTTTCATTTGGAATTATACAATGCAGGCGGTATTGAAGATACCAAACAATCAAACCATTCAAGCTATTATAGGTAGCCAGGTGTCATGATAACCAGCTCCATACAGTTGGGCAAGATCAAGGAACTAAGAGCTAAAATTCATTCACTCCCTTACTTGTGGTTTGTGTGATGTAAATTCAAACTAAGACAAATCAACTGGCTGACAAACCATACTGAACGTGTAGTCCTTAATGGGTCTAAGTCTACATGGAGAGAAGTAAACGGTGGGGTACCACAAAATTCCATTTTAGGTCCAGTACTCTTCAATATCTTCATAAATGACTTAGATGAGGAAATAAAAGGGGAACTCATCAAATTTGCAGATGATACTAAGCTGGCAGGTATAGCCAACAGTTTAGATGATAGGCTCAAGATTCAACAGACTTGAACATTATACCCTATCTAACAAAATGAAATTCTACATAGAGAAAAGTAAGCCAGAGAAACCAAAAGTATACATACAGATTAGATGAAACCTGGCTTAATAGCAGGTTTAATAGAGGGATCTTGGATTCTTAGTGGACAATCAATTAAATATGAGCCAGCAGTGTGCGGAAGTAGCAAAAAAGCCAATGCAATCCTAAGTTGCATTAACAAAGGGATAGATCAAGACCACATGAGATACTAGTACCATCCATGAAGCCTTGGTAAGACCACACTGGAATACTGCATCCAGTTTTGGTCATCACTCTTTAAAAGTTGTTGAGACTCTAGAAAGAGTGCAGAGAAGAGCAAAAAACAATGATTAGGTGACTGGAGGTTACAATATATGAAGAATAGTTGCAGAGATTGGGTATATCTAGTTTAATTAAAAGAAGGAGTAGTCTTGACATGACAACAGTATTCCAATATTTGAGGGGCTGTCACAGAGAGGACAATCCATTTTCCAAAGCACCCAAAAGCCAGACAAGGAACAACGGATGGAAGCTGATAAAGGAGAAATTCAACCTAGAAATAAGGAAAAAAATTCTGACAGTGCAAACAATCAACCAATGGACAGCTTGCCCTCAGAAGTTGTATATGCTTTATCACTGGAGGCTTTCAAAAAGAAACTGGACATCAACTTGTCAGAAATGGTATAGGGTCTCCTGCTTGAGCAGGGATTGGACTAGATGACCTACAAGGTCCCTTCCAACTCGGTTATTCTACTAAAGTTCTGTTAAATTTCTCATTCTCTTTGAATGATTGAAATGTTTCATCCTAGATTTCTATCCACTTGATCTAAGTTGTCAGTTCTGTCAGCCAACTCTTGCAATTGTTTCTTTCTGATCTGTCTTCCACTCCTTTCACAGCTTCCCCATAATTTATCATATATGGCCATTACTGACATTTCTTGAACTGTTCCATATAACCGAAGAGCACTCAGATTGGAAAAGATTGTGGCAGCTAATAAAAATTGATCAATGTATCAATTTTAAGATTCAAAATGCAACCTATTAGGCATATAATTCTCCAATAAATAACTACTTGATATTTATGCATACCTAACTATATTTTGTGTTGTTTTTAGAAGTATGAATTTACATCTGAAGTCTGGCTTTCTAAGCAGGTATAGTATTATTAATTATTTGGAACAAAGTACAGATATTGATTATTTCTTAAAAGCTTGGCAGTAATTTCAGCAGAATATAAAAATAAATGACTTGTACCTCACAATAATTGCTGTATTTTTCTGATGGCATCATAGCATAAAATTCTAGTAAGTCTTTGATTGCTTGCAGTTTTATACTGCCCAGCTTATTCTGATTCCTGGCAGTTTATATTGTATATTAAACTATATACATTGACATAGTTAATACAGATGGTTATCCAATCAGCCAGGCAAAAGGGAGCATAGAATTTCACAGGATAAAACTTACATATAGAAAGTCTGCCTTTTGGCCCATGACCCCATAGATTGCCAAAGGGAAGAGAAAGAAAGCTTTTTCCTTCAGAATAATGCATAAGTCTGTTGTTAGGCAAATGCCAAATCCAGCATCTAATAAAAATGAATTTCAATGCATTAAACAAGAAACCATCTCACTATTTGCGTACATCATGATGATGCAAAATAGCCTTTCATGAGCTTCTCATTTTTAAAATAAAGCCAATTTTTTATAAAATGTAAATACATAGTAAATGACATTATAAAATACAAACTTTTGCACAGCTTTGTGTTATGCGCCACTTATGCCCATTCCCTTGGCAGACTCTGCTAATAGTGATTTATGCCCTAGTCACCTTCATACAGGTGCAGAATGCTGTAGCACAGGCATTTATGTGTGTTCCTAGAACATTGCATGTTACATCTCTGTTCTGCAAGCTACATTGGTTGCCAGTTTGCTTCCAGGTCCAATTCAAGGTGCTGGCTCTAATCTTTAAAACTCTTTATACTATGGTACTGCCTGATAATACAAAGCAATACAAATTGAGAGGATTAAATACAAAACTATAAACCAAGACAATGGACAGTCTGGGCATAGGGTCTTCTCTGCTGTGACAGTCATCTCTCTACTGCCAAGCAGTAGAGCCAAATTTTCAGACTCCTCCAGTGGCCAGGAGTATGGGGGAAGATCTCACCTCTAATGGGAGAATATTACAGAGAGCAGGGGCTGCAGAAGAAGAAAAGGCTCTTCTCATAACCTAACCAGCCAAAATTCTTTGGCCGATGGGATCCTAAGGAAGCCTCTTCCACAGGAACTATTATGGCAGGCTACACACATATCAGAGTTGGGTTGCCGCCCGTTCGGCCCAGTTCAGCCAAACCTAAGGTGACCAGATTTTCAGATTGGTAAAGAGGGACACCTGTGA